CCCCCCCTCTCCAATTTCCTTCTCCCCCCTACCCCCCCTTCCACCACTGTTGTAGCGTGGCCGAGCTCTGTATGGTCCGCAGGTACAGGGAGCTTTTGTTTCCTGTACCCGCGGACCATACAGAGCTCGGCCACACTACAGTGAGGGTGTGACAGGAGTGAGCGCTGAGCGCTTTCCTCCTGTCAGCCCCTCTCCTCATGCTGCGCCCGGGCTGGCAAAGCTGCAGCCGCCTGAGGCTCTCTACAGGGGCGCCCTAGGTGGCTGCCTAGTCCGTCTAACAGGTAGCGCCGGCCCTGGCTACACTGTCACGCCGAACTTCACCTTTCCACTATTGTTTCCTCTTGTCTTCCTCTCTCAGAATCTGTTCCTTTCTGATCTAGTTTTATTTAAAACATAGGATAAAGTTGGGACTACTTTGTGTTATGTATTTTTTCCTACGCTTGACTTTCTTTGACCAAGAGAGGAGCTTAAGTCAGTTCCATTTCCTGTGTCAAAAAGTTTTCCCACAATACACCTCTTTCCTTCATGTTCATGCGATGCCTGCATACGCCATGACTGAACCTGAACGGCCTGCCATTTAGACTTGGACGCTAGCAAATTGACCGAATTTCATCCGTACAGAATGTGTACAGTTTGTCCATTCGTGTTCAGATGAAATTCGGTCACAATATTTAGTTTGGAAGAATGAAATTCTAATCCGTGCAGCGTATGCGTCTTGCAGCTGTTTAGTAGATAGCCCCCTAATTCCCATTTACTGTGTTTAAGTCATAACTGAAATAAATGTGAATCAAAAGAGCCCTTTATGTCGCTGATGATTTGAGCACTTTTTGATTTACTAGATTAGTTGCTGATGGCGATAACTCCTTGGTAAAAATGAATGGAGGTTGGTGGGTCACCCGTATTAAAAATCCCCCTGTTACTAAGAGAAAGGGTGAATGGAACTTGTTGGGGCACACCAACTAAAATCCTTTTTAGTTCGTCTTACTAATCCTTATATTTGGAATATTCGTTAATCAAAAATTATTGTGGCAGATTCTTAACGGAGTCTTTTAGCATAATCTATTTTTGTACATCTAGTCTTTTGTCTCGTGAGATTTACTTCAAACAACTTTGGGGGCATATTGTCTAGATAAATCTATTGGGACCCGTTTTTTATCTCTCTAATGGATAATCTGCTATACTAATATTTTACTCAAGTGGGTTGTTATTTTATAGCCGTCACCCAGGTACCTAGATACTTCATTTTTTCTGTGCACCAGTGGAATGGGAATTTGGGTTTCAGATTATCATATTCCTCTGTCGGGGTGGTGATATCGAGGACCTCACATTTGAAAAGGCTCAACTTAAGGAATTATCAGATATGTCATGAATGATAGGCATTACAATCAATTCAACAAAAAATATCCAGCTTTGCAATGACAATAGACTAATAAA